ATGGTGGTCTAACACTGATCGATTCATGGTTCCAAAAATGTGTAGCTCAACAATCTTCACAACCCCGTAATGTAAAAGAGATAGTTTACAAAAATGAAATTAATTAACACATAAATTGTAATGAATTACATATTTTTTTGTTTTACAAAATGTATCGAGTAGTTTTGGGACAAAAATGTTGTTTGAATTCATAGTACTACTGCTACTTCAAGAAAAAATAACAATTCTTCGTAAAACAAATTAGTTTTAAACTTGTTTCAAACATCACACAATAACCAAATAAATGTAATCGAATGATTTATCATTCATGTAATTCAAAATGTGCACTACGTAAATGTGGCTGATTAATTGAACAAAACAATCACTTAAGTTTGCTGATCAATGTTCAACAATTGTTATTATCATCAATTTTTATTTAACAACTAGGTAAATTGTTTACTTGCTACGTAGGAAGGTAAAATGTTGACTTAAACAAATACATGTTTCATTGTTTACAACAAACAAACTAGAAAGCACTGAATACTTATTTTATTTGCATGATAGAGGGTTTTGAAGATTGTTGAGTTACCTTTTGAAATCATACATCAACCAATGTTATAGATCACTGTTAGAAACTTGGAAGCACTGGATGGCCGTTTCGTCTTGGTATTGGGACTGGTCAGCAGTGTACACTCATTCTACTGTGAAAGGGCTCAGCTGTAAGTATTCATAACCCTACTAGGGACCAGACATAGAACCATCAGGTTTTATAGTGAATGAGTAGTTATCTTTACACCTTTATATCTGGCATCCAATAATTCTTCACATGTCTAATCACCTCAATTGAAATGAATTAGTCTTGATAAAAACGCAGCAAAATCCAAAATTCTCAAATTATTTGGACCGTAGAACTGTTTCTAGTGACATATCAAACTTTGACTATTTACAAAAGAAACGATGGCTAGTAGTAATTTTTCTATGGTATTGTAAGAAACTGTACAAAATATTCTAAATTTGTATTGTTAGAGAAGTAGATGTATGTATTAGGGACTTTAGATCCTCAAAACTTTGGAAAGTGTCCTAATTTTGGATTTTACCTGTTTTCGCGCATAATTCGCTTAGTTAAACTTGAACTTACATTTCCCACTCAGAAAATCCATGACTGTCATTGGTCGACGGATTATTTTAGTATGCTATTTTGTGGCTCTCCGAAAGGCGTTTTTATCAGGTATAAATAAGCACGATTTGTGTGCTTGTGAACCTCGAATTTTCTGGGTACATATAGAATACATTCTGTACGTCTTATCAAGACTTCTTGATTTAGTTAGCCGGATCGGGGACCATGGAATCATGTCACTGAGTCATTATTTTTCGTTTCGTTTACCGAGTAAGGTGAACTCGTAATAGCATTCAAGCATATCAATAAGTGCAGGATGTTAAACACTTATAAAATAGTCAGTCACTTAGTAGCAACGTAAAACTTGGTACACATGTCCATCAGTTCAAGTTATCAAACCACATCAGAAAGATGGAATTTTGAATAGTAGAATTATCATAGTAATAGAGATGGTAGCAGTATTAGCGATAATCGAAAAGATTAAGGATCGAAGATATCATTCGATAAGTACAAACCAGTGGAATAAATTCCGGAACGTGACAAAGGTCATGAGGAATTCAGAATATCAGAATTTGAAGGATGGCAAATAGAGAAATAGAGAAAGATATGAGAAGAATGAACAAAAATTGGACAGAACTGGAAAGGGAAGCCCAGGACACAGTTGGTTGGAGAAAACTGGTGGTCGGCCTATGCTCCATTGGGGGTAATAGGCGTGAGTAAGCAAAGTAAATAATAGGTACACTTATGCCATAGCAAACGATTTTAAGCCACCGATTACAATTGTCATACGAACCTTAACATGATTCAGTCCAATTGTCAATGACTTCATGGATTGGTGTCATGTTTTGGTTTATCCGTCCCTAGTTTCCTTCCAGCCTACTCCCACATCAGGCAACATCGCCTGTCGAGATAGTCTGTAGTCAGCTTTACGTAACTTATCACAACCACTTCAACTGATGAAGATTCACAACTTCATCAATAGATTTGCTATCCTTACTTAATACTCTATTCCTAACCCTAGCATTGCTTACTCTGTGGTCTCAGAATACACGTGCAGTGCTTCAAAGACATCTATGATCGACTACTAGTAACCTAAGAATATCCTCTATTCTTAAAGGCTACGTTTCGTACCCGTAAAATAGAACGGAGTGAATCGCTACGCAATAATTTGTCCTTCGATTAGCAGGCTGATATTTCATCCACGTCATAAGTAACTCACGTTTACAAAAGCTTAGACGAGCCTTATGTATCCGTACAGAGATTTCATTGGACACCAGACTATCAGAACTGATGAAACTTCCAAAATAAGTGAAGCGGTCGATACGCTTAACTGCCTAATTCCCCTCCCTCTAACCAACAAGTCAACTTGAAACAGCATTTTCCATTTGCCGGCAGAGTATCTATCAAATTCCATATATATGCTAGCTAGAACTGTTACCTAAAGTGGATTAGAAAACTCTAAATTTTCTCAACCTCTTCATCAAACAGAACTATGTAGTCTATGTATTGTAAAGTCAACAAGTTCGTCTCATGCTATATGATACACTGAATTCGCATTTATTCCTTTATTTGATCATAAACTTGAACATTTTGAGGAAACAATTTATCGACCATTAATCGATCACACTTGCGAAATAATTGCATATTTCAATCTAGGCAAATTGTTGGTTTCTATGGAATCATAGTAAAAATAGATAAATAGGTCAGTCAATGGTACATATAAATTTGTGTTGTATATCTCTAAAAAAATAACTCAATACATGTCTCTTACTGTTTTTGTTGGCTCGTATCATTTTCGAATTCAATCATACTTGGAATAAAATCAATAACTATGAAGAAACAAAAATCGATTTTAATCGTAACCTAAATCATTTTTTTGATATCCCCACTAAACATGGTTGTTTTTGTTATGCAGTTCAATGTCCAAGATCTGAAAGTAATAGGTGGCAATCTGCCAAATTGACTACATTACTCTAGATGACAAGAATGGAAGAGAAGGTCTGTTTGGCTACAAATACTCGTCTGTATATTCCACCTATTTAGATAACGAATAGGGCTCTTGACCAATGAGGTGCATTCCTCTTTCAGGTCATTTCTAAAGGTCATTTGATGACCTCATTTGGCCGCCACCTGTGATTGGCCAATGTTTGAACCATGTAAATAGTTAATTTTTTCATATAAAACCAGATCCCTTGATTATTAACACGGTTGGATGCCGGCCGGCCCAGTGGTCCGATGGTTAAGCGTTCGTGCACAAGACCTAAGGTCCCGAGTTCGAATCTTGCGAGTAGCATGAGTTGTAGATGTGTACTGGTATAATGAGTCCCATACCAGGACGAAACGGCCGTCCAGTGCTTCCAGGTTTCTCAGTGGTGGTCTAACAATCATTGATTGATGATTTCAAATGTGTAAAAACACAAAAACCTCCCAAACTCTGCCTGAAAATAACTTAGATAGGACGAAAATAAATATTATTTTATCGAATAAAATAAGTCAATCAGTTCCGATTCTCAACCTCTTATCAAGTGCAAACAGTTTAATAAAATCACAAGAAACAATATCAATAATTATAAATAGACAATATTAGTTAATGAAATTTGAATAAACGGTTCAAAACAGAAACTCCACCTGAAGCTTTTCTAGGGTTACTTTTGGTCCCGAACACGGACCAAGGAAGAGGAGGGTTGGGCATGGGGTTACCGACCCCATTCTGTATAAATCCAGTTTGCCAACAAAAAGATGCTGACCAGAAAAATAATTCGCTAGTCGGCGGCCTATGCTCCGTTAGGGGTCACAAGCGTAAGTAACGTTTAGTCTAATGATTAGGTCCACTGAAATAATCTTTGACAACGTATAAGGAGGACCACGTTCATGTCAATTACAAATTTCTAGTCATTTCATATCAGATATTGTTTGTGATACTACTGAAGTGAAGGAGAACATAGGTGGGGCAACCGAATTGTATTTAACCAAAATTACAGAGTTACTCAGTAAAATAGGAAAACCATAACGTAAATCGTTAATTTGCAAAATATCAGTTCATCATATCGAACTGGACTTTTCCTGTTGCAAAACATCAATCCATTGTCACTGTTCATGCGTTTCATACAAATTCCATTGTTTTCTAACTCTTGCTTTCTTGATCTTTCCCCATCTTCTGCTGCCAGACATTACGTTGACACTTACGTCATATACTACTTATAAGTAGCTCACACCACACTACCACTACTTCCACGGTTGAACTGTTGACAAAAACTTTTGTGTTATGGTATTTTATTATTCTAGCCACTACTATCATTAGTACACCTTCGTCTTTCATAATATACTATCAACTTGTACTTTGACCTGTTATATGTGTGGTGACATAATCTCTATTTCATTGTGATTATTGACTCATAAATTGTCAATTAGATTTATAGAGACTAGTGTTTTTACACATTTGAAATCATCAATCAATCACATTGTTAGACCACCACTGAGAAACCTGAAAGCACTGGACGGCCGTTTCGTCCTGCTTTGGGACTCATTATACCAGTACACATCTACAACTCATGCTACTCGCAAGACTCGAACCCGGGACCTTAGGTCTTGTGCACAAACACCTAACCTGTTGACCACTGGGCCAGCCGGCATTCAACGGTGTTAATGTCTAACTGTGATTTATCAAGGAATATTGCGCGACTTGATTTGGTTTAGCATTTTCAAATAATTATTCATATGTATATCACAGGGTAAAGTCTGATGACGATCTAATTGAAAACAGCAATCTAGTGTTCGCTTACAAGTGTGTTGTTCTAATTTTCACAATGGAAACTTTGTAACTACCTAAAAAACTGTAATATTATACCTTAATATTCGTTTATAATTTCTCATTCATATCTCCGTTTTCATTTTCAATTTTTAGGTGATGTTCCTGAAACACTTGAAACGAATTAAAATGGAATTATTTCTTTGTTTTTTTTCTAAAATTTAATTTGTATTTTCGCGCTTTGTTCAATGGCTGTGAGATAATGGATTTTTAATTTTTGTTCAATCCTACACACTTCACTTTACTTCATTTCTCAACAAATCAATAATACTGACAAGACAAAATCTACAACAATCACACCAGATCAAACAAACATAATTTCGGATTGCAACTAACTAACATCAAGTGAGTAGTTTCTTTTTTCAAAAACAAACGTTAATTTAACTTGTAAACAAAGTCAAACATAAATTTTTGTGATTTTATTTTTGGCCGATGAACAATACTCTTCAAAGTGTGTAGTTTTGATAAAATTATTCGCTAACCGTAAGTTCTATCGTGTAGGGTGTGAGTTAGTTACTCACCGAAGACAATGTGTGACAAAGTTGCTCAATATCAGGGTCTGGTTAAAGTTAAACACTAACACCACTGAATTTCCGCTCAGTATTCTAAAGGTTGTACGTTTGCGCGCAAGGCCAAAGGCCATGTGTTCGATTTCTGCGTGTGGTTGTCGTGGATGCACACAGCTGATGTGTCCCGTATTAGGATAAAACAGCCGAATAGTGCGTTCAGGTTTTTTATGGTTATCTAAATATATGATTGATCCATGATAACAATGAAACTCAGCAATCATCAAAACTCTATGATGAAGACCAGTTAATAACCAAATGAAGACATGCCGCCAGTAAGTCCTGTATGAAGTCATTAAAACTGTTAAATTAAAGTTATATCATTAGATACAAGCTTTTTGCCTAAGAATTGGCGATACGTCATCTATTGATCTGCCACCCTTCCCTAGTAGTCGTTTCCTAACAACTGCGTTCTCCCAGGATACACAATTAATACTTCGAAGACATTTATAATCAAATACTAATAACCTACAAATATTCTGTACTCCTTTGGTTGATAGACGGATATCTCGCTTAGGCTATAAGCGACGTAAGTTGACAAAAGCCAATCGAACCTTTACTATCCATGCTGAGATTTCATCAGAAATAAGGCCATCAGCACTGACAAGACTCCCGAGATAAGTGAAGCTGTCGATGAGCTCGACTACTTTATTTCCCTATCACTAGTTCAGGTGCCCTCATTTCAAGGGGGATAATCGCATTCCAAACATGCTTGCAAAGTTTTGGTGGTGGTGTTTGGTTCTCAGGTCAATCAATAATCAACAAACACATCGATTTTGACCCAATTTATCAACCAATCAGGAAAATCAAAGGTGACATAGGATCAAGAAACTGATCAAAAGGGGATTCCAATCAAAAAAAGGTGCAAACAACGACAGGTTTAAGGTCAACAGCAACCAATCAAGATCGAGGTTAGCAGAACAAGCTACAGGTCAAACGTGGCGAAATTCGAATGCTTCACTTCTATCTGAAGTTTGTGCTGATGATGTTGTTCAGAAGAACAATGAAAGCTTCACAACCAAAACGCATCCAGCACAGAGAACCAAACACCACCACCATCACAATCATCCACCTAAGCTACATATTCTTCTCCAGCATCTCAAAATGCTTGCATTGTTGTTTAAAGTGTTCAGAATACTCTGAATTTTAGTCAGTAACTTTATCGAATAGAACTATGTCAACAAGTGAATCTCACACTCACAACATAGACAGAGCTTTTTATTCTATCAAACCTTCTTATTCATTTTCTGTTTAGAAATTCATCACAAAATCTAGTTGGTTGTATGAAATGATTTTTTTAAGGCACGGATTTGTCTCAAATTGATGAACTTGTCAATCTAATCTAGTGTCTCATTCATATCAAGTAATCAACACATTTCAAACATGATCTGCAAATCAAACGCATATTTTGTTAATTTCTGCTTTAAATCTATAAGTAGTTAATTAATCAGAAATATTTAGTCAAGAAGTCATATAAGTTGTATTACGCCAACAGAAACTGATGTGCGTCATTTTAACCTTCATGCGTGTTGTACTAATTTGTGTTGTACCTGCATTTAACAGTAGTAATTTTTGTAACTAATTAAATCAGATCACATAGTCAGTTAGTTAGTTAGATGCCAGGTAGAACTTTGTACGTAAGTACATCAGTTCAGGTTGCCATACCACATTAGCACAGAGGGATATAATTGTCAATTCAAATCCAATAGTAGTAGAGGTAGTAAGGGTATTAGAAGTAATCGAAGAGGTTAGGATTAGAAGATATTATTCAAGAAGTATGATTCAATGAGATAAGTTTAGAAAGTAAAAACTAGAGGGGTAGAAGAATCCAGAAGATTAAGATTTGAGAGAACACAGAGAATGAATGCACGGGCGCCATTGCAAACGGTTTTGAGCCATGTCATTTAGGGCCTCTAACCATCGATTATTATCATCTCGCGGACCTCAACCAGGTAGTCGACAATTACCGACATGGCTAAGTCCACTAGTCAATGACTTCATGGATTTCTGCCATGTTTTGGTCTGGACGCCCCTAACTTTCTTCCAACCTATTCCTACACTACAAAACAAAGTTCGACGAGGCAGTCGGTGGTCGGGCATACGCAGCACATGTTCCAACCACCTCAACTGATGAAGTTTCATTACTTCATCGATTGATCTGCCATTCCTACCTAATATCCCTTTCTTAACACCAGCGTTGCTCACTCGGTTGTCCCAGGATATACAAGCAATGCTTCGAAGACATCGATGATCGAAAAGCAGTAACCTACAAATATCTTCTACTCTTACTGGCCATGTTTCACAGCCATAAATTAAAACGGAGCGAACTACTGCACAGTAGTACACTCGTCTTTTGGTTAGCAAACGGCACTCTCGCCTACGAATTTCAATCAGATCAACTAGAATTAGGCGGCTTATTTTATTTATTCTTTTTATTCATATCAACGATTTAACAAAAAAAAGGCATGACTGACAATGGCATTTCACGGCATCTTATAAATGAAATATTTTTCTGATTGAGTGAGTATCAACACATCATTAACATGGTTGGCATTTTTTTGCGTATCGATTTTTTCTGAACCTTTCATTTTTTTTAAAAAAATATTTCTGTTTAATTAATTGGCTGATTCACTGATGACACGTACTTAGAAAAAAATTCTTTGCATTACAATGTCATTCCAGATTTGTTGTTGATCAGTGTCATTGTTGGTTTTTTGCAAAATTTAAAACCATGATAATGGTATAATGTTGTGTGTAGTAAAGTTGATAATTGTCTGTCATGAAGAGTTAAAACTTCAACAGTCTACACATTAGATTAAATTTGTGAGTAAATTGACTAGGATACTAATGCCTTGTTAGGATATTCATCCAATATCCTAAGAGAATTATTGGTCAATGCCTATTGGTCAATTCCTATTGGTCAAAATTATGGTCGTTTTGACTGTCAAAGTTAAATACTTCAATGTTGTTTCTTATTGGTTGTCCTGACTATCAATGTCACTTCAAATGTTGCTTCCTATTGGTCGTCTTAACTGTCAATGTCACAGAATTCGATGCTGTTTCCTATTCGACCAAAATGTATAAATACGCATTATCTGTAACGTTTTATGACTACGACCCGTTCCCGGATCCCTAGTCCGGAATCCTGATTCTCTTCTGCATTCGGACCTCGTACTTTCTGGATGCTTGTAGAATACACGTTCTATTTCATATCAAGTCTTCTTATTTTTACTCAATATTGGGGTTGGGATAATCGGAATTGAAGAGCATGTCATGTCAACGGATCCTCGCTCTCGTTTTCCGACTTAGGTAAACTCGTAATAGTTCAAGTATATCAAGTTGACGTGTTTACGTGCAGGCGTAACATGCCTGAAGGCCCAAATCTAAGAAGCAGGTAGTTTTTTGAAAGGACCACTTACTCTACGAGCCTTTTTGACGCAAAAGTTTAATCCACAGGGTAGTGGAGCAACCAACATCAAGAGATGCTGCAATTTCATGGAAGACGGAGACCAGCAGTCGGATTCATCATATAAGACATTGGTCTTATCATGATCGTGAAGAAAATGTGCACTATTGGTTTGAGAAATCAGGGTTTTCCAAGTTCTCTCCCTTGGTGAATTCTCCTCACCAATCTGAACTAGTTTAAGCAGTCAACACTTTCTTCATGTCCTCTCAATTTCTTAAACAACCCTCCTGCTACGAGGAGGCAGTAAGTAGGACTTTTCTGTCAGTGGCTAATATACGCCTGGAGATTTCATACATAGCATTTGGAGAGGGAGAGCAAACTTTCATCACTCTCAGTCGAATCAGGGGCATTTTGGGTGCTGGACATCATTTATACTACCATTTCATATTCTCACCCTAGAAGACTTACTTTCCCAAGTTGTGACTGCTTAATGAAAGCGGACAGATATTTACGTGTATTCTGTAATAACCCCTTTTTATTTGTCATAAATTTATTGCATGAAAAGGTCGCGGAGATTGTTGAGTTACTTTTTTGTAAAAATCGCGAATCGATCTCTATTACACCATTAGAAACCTCGAAGCACTGGATGGGTGTTTCATCCTGTCCTGAAACCCATCAGCTCAGTGGTTCAGAGGTTAGACCTACGCGCATAAGACCGAAGGTCATCATGGGTTCGAATCCTACGAGAAGCGGGAATCGTGGGATTGGCACTGCTGATGAGTCCCATACTAGGACGAAACAACTGTCCAGTGCTGCCAGGTTTCTAATGGTGGTCTAACATTGATATAACTGAATGATAACTTTTCATAAATTGATTGTTTCAATAAATTATATTTTCTAAATCACAATTTTCTTACAGAATTCTTTTTTCAATTATCTGATCAAAAGAATTTTTATAACATATATACATTTCTCCATCTCATCAAATCACATCATCTTACAACAAACGACCGAACATCTACGTGTACATTCTTCACCGATGTTGTAAATTCAACAACACATATTACTTTAGAAAAGGAAATGTATTTCGAAAATTTCGTTCAATTCAATATTTTTTGCCCAATCTATCTATCGTCTATGTTCAAAGTATACTCTC